GTTTCACGTAACTAACGTCACGATTAAAAATTTAATACAACTACAAGAAATTTTAAATTGATATTATATGGTATATTACATGGATATTATATTTCATTCTTACGAGTTTATTTTCTTTTTTTTTAGAAAATTATAATGTTTGTGTTTTATATTTAAAATGCGCTGAAGAAATAGAGAATAAATTAAGGATAGATTCATTGTGATATAGATTTCTTCGGAGGATCAGGTGGCAGACGTATCACATCTGCGTCATTCAGCCATAATAATCACAGTGGCAGAACATTTCTATGTAAAGCCAGGATTCACTCGGTTTGCTTATACTTCGTAGCAACGTATGACTGTTTTGTCCTAAACACGTACAATGTGATCGAAAACTTTGGTTACAAATTCAATAAAATTTAACGTACTAAATTATCAGAATAGAAAAAAATATATATATTAAAGTTAGTACTTGCGTTTGCGAATTATTGATCATTTTATAATTTTTTTTATAAAAACAAATAGTATTTTTTTTAAATTCTTTATTTAAACAAAGAATTTTTCGGTCAAAAAGAAAAGAGAAATATAAATTTTATCTCTTAGTTTAACCATATGATTACAATATGATATATTGCCTTAATTTTATTTTCAATTTCTATTTGATCTTCATTATTGATATCTAATAATAATTTTAAGTAATAATTTTAAGTTTTATTATTTCAATTAGGTTGAATTCTTTTACTTTTATTATTTTTCTTTCTCCTGTGAATATGGAAAATACAAGATAAATCGATTCCCTTTTGAATTCATCTTTTTTCCACGGAGCTCGTATTTGTTATCAGAGTAATCAAGAGAGGGATAGGATAGAGCCATCCCCATTGTAGGGAAGTAGAACCGCGGAACCCACAATTATGCAAATTGGTCAATCGGACTTTAATCTATTTCTAATCCGGCAGTCGACACTCATCTCAGAAATTGCAGGCGTGGGAGTTGACGCGTGCGGTTGAAAGTTACGATGAGGCTCCGCACACGTGTGAGTGCACGCGTGTGCGCACGGATACGACCGATCCTCGCCACAACAATCGAGGACATGGCACACGCCCTGTTCGTCACACCCGATTAATGTACTCCGTCGAGTCGTCACGGGTGTCACAGGATAGTTCACACCTCGTTACCGCGATGACGACTCTTTTCACAATCGAAACCCTTTCGATTTTCCCTTTCATTTGACCAAACACATATCTTCGTAAACATGTCACGACCATTACAAAGCAGATATTATCAATGCAATATTATTTTTGACACAAATGTTCTGATATATTATACGTTTACACATAATGATCTTTTGTGGTATCACCAGATTTATAATCAAAAGATAACAATATTACAAAATATTTTACTTTTAATTCTTAATCTTAATCTAAAGTATATATATTTTCTTAATCTAAGGTATATATATTTTTATATATTTATATATTTTATTAATACAAATATAGAAATAGTAGTTTTATTATTAAATCATTAATATAATTAAATTAACAAAAACTAATTAATAAAAAATGTTAATATAAGCATTTAAATGCAAATTCAAGAAACTAAAAGCAATGTAATATATCAAGATATAATTTGTTCTTAATCATCACGAATATTTTGAGAAGTATTGTATCATTATTATAATAAATCCATTCATTAAAGTTATGTAGAAACTTTTTTATATTGTAGAAACATTTTTAGATTTTAATTAATCACTTGTATTGCCAATGAGAGAGAAAGAAAGAAAGGGAAAAAGAGAGAGAGAGAGAGAGAGAGAGAGAGAGAGGTAGGTTAG